TTTTTTAACGGAAAAACCCAAACTCAGATTGGTGGTGGCCAGAGGGCAGGAGTGGGGGAGGAGGGTAGGAAATGGCTGAAAGTGGTCAAAGGAAACAAACTTCTAGTTTTAAGGTACATTAGTCCTGGGGGTGTCATGTACAGCTTAGTGATTATAGTTAACAATGTTGTATTGTATATTTGAAAGTTGCTAAGAGTGTAGATCTTAAAAGTTCTATAACTATATGTGATATGGATATTAACTAGACTTATTGTGGGCATCATTTTGCAATGTGTACAAATACTGAATCATGATGTTGTATACTTAAAACAAACACCATGTTATATGTCAATTATATCTCAACTAACAAAGGTAAGCCTGACACTGAGGATGAGGAAACTGATGTACAGAAAAGGCTGCACACTTCCAAGGGAGGACCTGGAAACCCAAGTCTGTCTGCTGTGACCACAGATTTTACCCACTAGAGTCTGCCACATGCACGTGCTACATCAAGAACAGGGACTCAAGGCTGCACACACCCTACGTTCTCATCCTCTAAAGTATTGGAAGAGCCCCTGGAAACAAACCTGTGCCAATATTCTTCATTTTACAAGAGCAGAAACACATCCAGAGATGTAAAGTGACTTTCCTAAAATCACCCAGAGAGTCGATGTTAGAAAGGCCATAAAACTCTATCAGCTGTCTCAAAGCAGAACTCAGGAAAAGAGGATGGGGCAACTTTTTAAGGCAAAATAACCTTCTATATCATGATGGTGGTGATGGTGACACATTGTATATGATTACCAAAATTAATCAAACTGTTCACTTAGAACTGATGGGTTTTAATGTATGTAAATAATAACCTAAATAAAGAAAATAATGCTAATGTACATATACAATTAAAATTAATGTCACCCACTTTCTGTTACGTTTTCCTGACTTTAGCAATTATTGCCATGTACTGGGGGTTTCACATGTCAGGGACGTGCTGAATACTTTACATTTCTTATCTCATTAATCCTTGAGTGTGAATACAGCTTGTCTAGACCACTCAGGTGCATTTCCTTAGTCTTTCTGGGTGACGTTTTCTGGAATTCCACATCTATCACTGCCAATACAATTGTACTTAGGGCTGACTAGGATTTAATTCTCGAGTGGATGAGCAGGCTATGGCGTCCACCCTAACTCTTTCTATAGCTAGAAAGGTTACAGCCGTGGTTATCAATTGCACCCAGGAAGCCAGTCATGAATAATTTATTTCATCCTCCCAACAACCTTTGGGGTAGGTACCATTAACATTCCGACTTCACGGGTGCTGAAGCTGGAACGGAGCCCTTAGCAAACCAGCCAGACAGACACACCAGGAAGCAGCAGGCAAAGATCTGATCCCAGACGGCCTGAGCCCCTGCAGTTGTTGGCTTAATCCTCATACCACCTGGCCTCCCAACCAGGGACACCAGGCAGGCTGCTGAGCTGGTGTGTGGGGGCCAGGGTGTGGCTCTTGCAGAGATGACAAAAGATGACTTTCCCAATGCAGCAGGCATCTCCAGACTAGTGTGGCCTCAGGCACTGGTCAGATCTGTTGTCTGTTCCCAGTGCCAGGCTGCTGGGTTGAGATGCGATGTGGGAGCCTAGGAACTGGCAGTCACTGGGCAAACACCCCCATCCACAGGGCACAAGAGGCCCTGAGCATTGAGGGAGGAGCTGTTTGACAGGAGCCTCATGTAGCCCTTTCGATTTTGAAGAATTTTTCAAGATGTGTTTACCTCTTGGTCCCTGACTTGGCTATAGAATGGAGAGAACCTCCAGGAATCTCACTAGTGCTCTTCTGGGCAACAACATGCTAGGTTGCCCTAGCATGTTGTTTCCATCTATTTTTATTTTTCTATAGAGCATCTGCGTCTTCCCTTCCAGTGAACAATTTGCTGATGACACTTTACCTTTAAACGCAGTGCCAGAGCCTGACTGAAATGCAGACGGATCCCTCTGCAAGAGGACACAAGTTGCCACGTCTTAACTCCATATGAAGCTAATTGGGACAAATTAAACGTGTACTGACTACCTCAAGATAACTGGAGATTTCTGCACCCTCTCTAATTACCAGAAACAATACCACAGTGACGTGCTCTTCTGGAGACTGAGAATGCACAGCTGTGGAAGCAGCTGCATGTTAATAGTACCATCAGTATAGGAGAGCCACCACATACGAGGATGCCGAGACTTAGTTAAGTCCCCACTATCTGGCTTAATTCGGAAAGATCAGGAAACATTATCCCTGGTCAAAGAGGCTGAATTAAATTGAGACATTCCGGGGTTCACAGAAGATATCAACTCTGGATCAAATTAAAATACACTCTTCTCATTTGACATAATGTAAAAAATTAATACAAGACAAACAGAACAAATGACTGATGAGTCTGGGAACCATGACTTGTTTTGCCATGAAGGGAAGTTATGTTGTACCTTTTATTTATCATGTATGTTTATCTTTTGTGGGATTTAATTAAAACATTCAGTTATTCAATAAATACTTACTCGAGGACTAGCTGTGCTCCAGGCACTCAGGTACAAGGGGTTCCGCTGCAAACGAAAGAGACAAAAATATGTCTTTATAGAGCCTACACTCTAGATGGTGAAGACAAGTAATGAAGGAGTAAATTATATAGAATTCCAGAAAGCTTGAAGTGCTTGGAGGAAAAACAAAGTGTGGGAGCAAGATAGGGACGGACAGGGTGGGAAGCAGGAGACTGCAGTTATAAATAGGGTGGCAAAGAGAGAGCCTCATGAAGAGATAAGGAAGAGGTGATCCTTAGAGCATCATTTGTGATAAAGATAAATATTGGCAGCAACCTGATACGTGTCTATGGGGGACTGGTTAACTACGTCATGATGTATCTGTACAGTAGGACACTGTACAGCAAGGGAAATGTCCTAGGGCTACAGAGTGAGCCCCCAAGACATAGGCATGGATAAAAACAAGGTGCAGAATTATGTACAGAGTATGTGACCATTTTTGTCTGTCATGTACATGAGATAAATATTTTACATGTAATATTTAAATGCACGGAGTTTCAGCGGAAAGATACATTAAAAACTGTTAATAATGGAGTTGGAGAAAAGGGTAATTCATGGACAGGTAAGGGTGAAATACTTCATATTCCATTTTACTATGAGTATCTACTGCTGAATGGCCAGGCCCCTCCAGGTGGCTGTCCTCTTGCTGTCTCTACCCACTGCTTGGTCAGTTCCTGCTTCACTCACATGAGAACACAATCCTCTTAATTATGTGGCTTAATTAGTCCCTGCTAATTGCTGAGCCCCCCTGACATCAATGCCCCTGTAAAAGGTAGGCGCCTCTTCCCCCAGTAGCAGTGAAGATTGCTACCATGTCCAGCCCGTTGTCTGCCACACACAGTGGGGCGCTGCTCCCCAGAAACCTGTAGTGGAACCCTCCCTTCTCTCTTGCTTGCTGGCTGCTAGTGGTTAGGGGTTCCCAGGCTTGCATAATTCCAATCTCTGTCTCACCCGTATGGATTTTTCTCTCCCTGTTTGTCTGCATAGCTTTCAGTTTCACTTTCTTCTTTCCTAGTAGACTGAACTTCGGCTCCCCGCCCCACCCACTTCTTCCGTCACCTCGAGACATAACCTGCTGCCTGGCTGGCTCTGCAGCAGTCAGGCCCTGACGGGACAATGGCCTTGGTGCAGGCTCCGGGGGGCTCCAGTCCTGGGCGGACCTGTGTGCTGCTGATCATCACCGTGCTCCTGCAGTTCCTCTGTGTGGCCATAACCTGCATGTACTTCACCAACGAGCTGAAGCAGGTCAGTACCAGGCACGCGGCCCCTGACAGAGGCTCTCAGCAGCCCTCCGCTTCCTTGCCTCTCTGTCGTCTTCTCTGTGAAGATTTTACAGAGGAGGAGACGGCTCGATTTCTCTGCCTGGGGACCCTAACTGCTAATGCATGTTATTACTGAGAACTTTACAGAAGGGGGAGTTGAAGGGATTGCGTGGACCAAGTGCAGTGACAAAACTGGCCCCACAGTTACCAGCGGATGCAGGCACCAAACTCCTGAGCTAGTTTTTCTTGTTTCCAGCAGTCCAAGTCTGTTTTAATATTAGCAACTGCTGCTGTTTGTTGAGTGTTTTCTGCTTAATGCTTTTTATAGCTCTCGACTCAAATTCTCTGGGTGAGAGGAGCTGCATCAGGGCAGGACTGTGTCTGCTTTTGCTTACTGTGAAACCTCTAGGTGCTAGCATGTGGCTCCCACCTAGGAGGTGTTCATTAAACGTTTCTTGAATGAATAACCAACCTTCACAAACGTGGTGGTACTGCTAGTACACAGGGGTAGGGTAGAGTTGAGGCTTAATCCAAAGCCAGGCTCTAAACCACTTGTAACAGTGCTGCTTTGTGTTCCAGATGTGGCTAATCTCAGTGGATTTTGAATGCAAAATATTGAAAATAAGCCAACTCAGTTTTTGGCTTTTTGCTTTTATTTTAACTAGTTGTATATTATATAGTAGGGAACTCTGAGCTGCAAGGAACTCTGACACCCTCATTTTGTTGATGAGGAGACTAGAGACACTGCCAGAGAATGACTTGTCAAGCTCAGGGAGAACTTGGAAGCAGAGCTGGACCCAGGTCTTCAGCACCTAGGTAATGCTGTTCCCATCACAGCCGGGTGTCCATAGGGTTAACCTGTTTCCACTTTGTGATGAACACAGCTCCCTGCTGCATTGTGACAAGGCAGCATCCAATCTGTCAGCTGGCCAGAAAGGCTGAGGGTCTTGGACAAATACAAATTGTGCACAAATAGAGTGTTTCTGTAAAGGAAATGCAGTTTGTATATCCTGTGGAGTATAAACTTGGCTCTCAGTTGGGGATTTCCTTTGGAAATGAATGATGTAGACTTTTGTTCACAAGTAATTATGAAAATGATCACTACCATTCGATGACCAGTAGAGTCAGCTTTGTTATAGAGCAATTTTGAAGAGCCCATATATTTGTAAGAAAAAAAAATCCATGTCACTATAATCATGTCTTTAGTTCAGAGTCTGCAGGAGAGACTGGAATGCTGCTGTGTTTACCAATTTGGAGCCATCATGTCCTAAGCTTTGTTAACTTTGCAGTATAAAGAGAGTAAGTCTGTGTCTCCATATACAAGAGGTTCCCCTAATTTGCTCACATTAAAATTGGCCTCATTTTAAGACTGAATCAACTGATTTTCTACTGATCTAAGTCATGGAATTGTCCATGTATATGATTAAGTTTTTTTAACTATACTATAGAAATGGAGATTTCAAATAAAGCTTAACATCTCCCTATCTGCACACATTTTTCCTGATTGCGTGTTTATATATGTGTACACTACTGTATAGACATGCAGAAGAATTCATTGAAAGTATTAGAGAATTAGCAGATATTGAGTAAATACTATGTTTCAGAAACTTTCAAAGTATTGCCCTATTTCTTCCTCATGAAATTCTCTAAATATAGTTACCCCACTTTATAGATGAACAAACTAAGGCTTGGGGAAGTTAGGGGACTTGTCCAAGATTACAAAGCTGGTAAAAGGTAAAGCCCAATTTTGAACCTGCATTAAATAGGTGCTTAATAAGTTGTCACCATTGTAACTAGCATTGAGAAGTCTCTTGAAGTTTTGACCCTCTTCATCAGGGACTTTTGCAAAGGAAAATGAGTCTGAATCTCTTTGGGTAACTGTAGAGTTTGGAAAAGCATATTCAACACAAACATTAATTTCTTGAGACAGATCACAAGTTCCACTTTGGCTAGTGAAAACTTGCAGAAGAAGAAGAGGTCAAAGATTGTAGGGAGTGTGGGTTGAGCAGGGCTGAGGGATGTTGGACTGGATCCTCACAATTAAGCCTGTAAACCAGCAAGCATGAACAGTAAATATGCATTCAGTCTCTGAAGTCTGTCTCTCTGAGAAAGTTTATGACAAGGGGACTGCCTATCACTGTGGCATCATAGACGGGGAAGAAAAAGAAAGAAACCCTTATCCACTGGTGTCCATAAATGATCCTTTATGCTATTTGTGGTTTGCAGAAAATAATTTGCTAGAGACTAATAATGTCTGGGCAGCAGAGCGTGTCTCTGAGCCAGCCACATCCACCCTGCCAACCTCAAGCACTGCCAAGGCGTGGCTGGCCCTGGCCTAGACAACCACCGTGTTTGCCATGGCCGCAAAAACACTGGAAATCCACTTCTCAGAACCAAGGGCTTCTGGAACAGAAGAGCAGGCACCCAGTGCAATAGCTCGGGGCTGTCCTTCCTTCTAGATGTGTGCAAATAAAAATAGCACACACATCCCCCTGCTGCCACCTCTCAGATGTGGTTAGCAAGAGAAGAGCCCCAGCCTGAGCTGTGCTGTAGGACATTCACACTTCGAGGTGGAAAGAAAAGGGTGAGAGAGACACATCATAGGAATCATCATTAATTATTCTCAGAATAACCACTGCATCCCTCACACATGCGTCAGTCACCTGCATTCGCCAGAGTCTGCAGAGGAAACTACCAAATGTGAAACATGTCGGGCAGCTGGGGCCTTCTGTGGTTCAGAAATCAATACAGAAGCATAAAAATGTCTAGGAGGAGACACGCCAGATGTCGACAGTTGTGATCTCTACCTAGGGGCCTTTTCTTCCTTTTTTATTTTTCTATGTTTCATAAATTTTCTACTGTGAACAGTGTAACAGTACCTATGCTATCTATGTGATTTTTCATACAGACCTAAAGCACATGACATTTTAATATAGCCTTAAGAGAAAATAACTCTCCAGAATTTCCCACACAGTCTGACCTCAACCCTGTGAACAAGAGAGATCATCCCAAGGGTGATTCCAAGGAGGTGGAATAAGGGGGAATCACGGATTTTGTCTGTACTTTTAGGAAAGTATTCTCTAACTTCCTGTATTTTCCAGGCTGCCTATGTATCCTCAGTGCTTCTAGGCTTCATTAAATCTGGGGTAACAGTGGAGTCATACTGGCTCGTCAGACACCCTGCCACGTATACCTAGGACCTTACTGAGTTTTCAAGGTTCTCCCTCCCACCTCCTGAAAGTGTTTCTGGAAAACTCCCAGAGAATATCAAGGTCAGCCTTTGACCTGCGTTGGCCCCTGCTCACTTCCACCCTCTCAAACTCCACTTCACAGGGGACTGCTGGCTACCATGACCTCCTCATCCCAGCTCCTCTCAACCCTGCCTTGCCCTGCCCCTGGCCTGGCCTCTCAGGCACTAACCCGGTTCATGTTGAGACAGCGTTCAACTGCTGGGAAGTAAGAAGGCAAGTTGTTCCCTCCCTTCTGTCTCACGTACTTTGTCTTGTCCCAACAGGTTACCAAAACACTAAAGTCTGTTTATTCAGTTTCATCAAATCAGTGCCTGGCCAAGGCACACCCTATCCTGGCTAGGACCATGTGTAACCAGGACCATGACCAGTTCTTCCTGGAACTACCCTCAGGCCTTTTAGCTAAATCCAGCTCTTCCCCTCTGGTCCTTCCCCAAGTTTGCTAGACATGTTCTTCAACTTCTAAATTGAGTTCCTTCCTTGGAAAGGATTTTAAGCTCCCATATAATTTGCAGATGAAAACTGGCATCTACAGTAGAAGACCATGGGGGTGGGTAGGGACAAAGGAGTGGTGTTTAATGTCTTCGCAGGTCCTCTCACCTCAGGTGGCCCCAGCTGTCACCCTCACTACCTCTACTACGCAAATGTTTTACTCTTGTAATTTATAAAGGGAAGAAAATAAACATTTATTTACATGTAAATGAATGTTCTATGCCAGAGTGTGGGGAAGGAATGAATTAACTCCGGTTTGACACTTTGACACTTTAGAGACCTGATCAAATGTCCAAAGGGTACGTGGCCGACATCAAACCCACATCAGGACAGCTGAAACCTCTCATAAACAGCTGAGTTGTTTTGACTTGGAATGAGATTGTCCTTCTATGGGAAGGAGCAGATCATCATTAAGTTTGATCCTTCTTCAAGCTTTTGGGTCCCCTAAATTCACGTAACAGATAAAAATGGCTCTTTCCCCATTTGTTTCCCCAAAGAAATGCATTTCAGTAGATTTGTACAGGGAAATAACAGCTCCTGAATCCTACTTTTAAAAATGAAAACAGGAAAAAAAAAAAGCCTATCTGACCTTGCACAGACATCCTGTTTTTCTGTGTGAGATGAATCGGTTGTCATCCTGAAGTTTTCTGGATGGTTTTAGGGGTGGGGGTGGGGTGTGTGTAACACTAAGCACAGTTTGTTGACAAGGATCTGGCCATTGTAAATGTTCGCTCGATCAGAAGGAGGGAGGAAACCTCAAGTGGTGTTTCAAGTCTCTGCAAGTAAATCCCTAGCTGGTGTGGACATTTAATTGGGCAACATTCAAATTCCTAGCGTTAGTGTGGTCTGGATTCTGCCATCCAGAGGAGAAGAAATTGCAATAACTAGAATCTACTCAGACAGCCAAAGCTCAGATCAAGAGACAGAACATAATCTGTACCCTCAAAGGGTTTGGCTAATTTTTTTATTGGGATCCTGGAATTTAAGCAGACTCTGCTGCCTCCTTTGTACTTAGGTGGGTTTCCAGCTGTAGAATGGGATTCACACTATGTCAGAAATGGAAGGGACCTCAAAGATGACCACAGTGAACCAGCTCAAAACGCAAACGAAGAAGAGACGTGGAGGAGAAGAAGCAATGTGTTGAGAATACACAGATATTCACAGGCAGGGGCAGTGAAGGGCATTGTGACACATGATGCCTGGCCCACATCTGTTTCCTCTCCACCATATCCAACTGCTTGCGTTTTCTTAATTTGTTTTTGCTTTTTGGGGAGGGGGGAGGTAATTAGGCTTATTTATTCATTAATTTTTGGAGGAGGTGGTAGTGGGGATCGAGCCCAGGACCTCGTGCATGCTAGGCATGCACCCTACCACTTGAGCCATACCCTCCCCTCTTCCAACTGCTTTTTTGTATTCAAAGGGCAAAGGACAGCATGCTTGTTTTTCCTTCAAGCCATGAGCTTATCCAAGGTGCTAAGCTCCTCTGAATCTGTCATCAGTTTCTGTTATTTTAACTTCTACATAAAGAAAAATAAAAAGCACTTGTGTGTAATACTGTGTTATATTCACCTCAACACAGATACAGGACAAGTACTCCAAAAGTGGCATAGGTTGCTTCTTAAAAGAAGATGACAGTTCTTGGGACCCCAGTGATGAAGAGAGCATGATCAACCCCTGCTGGCAAGTCAAGTGGCAGCTCCGTCAGTTTATCAGAAAGGTAGGTGAACCACCGGCTCACTTCACGAGCAGACACATATAGAAGGCTGGAGGAGAAGCAATATTTAAGATCTTCAAATCTAAACTTCAAAGGAGGAAACTGGAGCCCTGAGCTTTTAAGTGATTTTTCCCCAAATTCACAGAACTAGGGACAGATGGAACAGCACCCAACAGTGGGTCCTGGTCTAGAGTTTATTCCTCTTCTCCAGAAGGCTTCTTCTCTAATCTAAACTTTTCATCATACATTGTGGAAACTGAGGCACAGACAGAGTAATGTCTTCAAGGTCACATGACAATAAAGGGTGTCTAATTTTTTTCTAAGTCAGAAAACAAAAGAAACCAAATAATGATGTTTTATATTCTTCCCACATTGTTGATCTCTGGAATTAAGTCTGTATTTTTGTATGCATATAGAGATGAAGAAAGAGGAAAGGAAGAGGGAAGAAAGAGATACTTTGAGAAACTGAAGGCGATGACATCTCAATTGACAGTTAGTAAATGACAAATTACACAATATTATCACCTGCTTGTGAAAGTTGCTTAAATAGGATCTCTGGCAGAAGCTTTATGTTACTAGCCGTTTATTTCCCTAAATGTGATGACTTAGTTTTACTTCCAGCAATGTGGCATGCCAAATAGAGTTTCTTCTCTCAGGCTGCTTCTACCTATCTGGAAAGGTCAGTTGAGAACACAGATGTGGAAAAAGCCTATAAACTATAATGCACCATCATTGTTTAAAAATTACTGGGGACATTCCCAGGGTAGGGGGAGGATGTGTTTTTAAAGAGGTGATTGTAAGTCTATTGTCTGGTGCTCTGTGTGCCTTTGCATAGAAACAGTGTTTGGGATTAGGCTAAAAAGTCCTCATAGCAAAAGCCCAGAGTCACCCGTGGTACTGCCTCTATGAGAAATGAACTCAGACTTCCACCTGGGTGTCCTCGAAGCACAGCTGCTCTGCAGCTGCCCTGGAAGTGTGGGTGGGGCGCCGGCAGTACAGGAGACATGCTGGAGCCGCTGGGGCTCCTTCGCCCCAAGAGCCGAGGACCAGGAAAGACCCGGGCCGAGGGGAAGGGTCCTGAGGAACGGGACCCCAGAGACCCTAGGGTCAGAGGGGCTGGCAAACCCACGGGTGGCAGAGGAGAGAAAGTCAGGGCTATGGCAGAAATCCGGAGGCTGAGGACGGGGCTGAGGCTGGGGCGGGGAGTGGGGAGGTAGAAGCAGGGGGTTGGGCTGGGCGTCACGTGTCTTGTCCTGCCTCCCTCCCATTCCCCCTCCCTCTCACCCTCACATCAGCCACTAACTAGAGAAGAGAGCACGGGACACCCGGGGCGGGTGAGAGTGTGGAGGGGAGAAGAGTTCCCCACTTTTGCAGGCACCACGAATTGAACAATTTCCAGCAAACCTCCTGTGCCCATTATGTGTATTCTCTCCTTTAATCCTCAGCTTTGTGAGGAAGGAATCATTCCTCACTTCTTTTAAAAAATAATAATAATAAATGGAGAAATTAAAGTTCACATCAGTTAAAGTCACTTGAGGGAAGTTTCCCAGGGCTAACAATGAGCAGATTTGAATCCAGGCTATCTGATTTTTCTGTGATCAGCCTTTTATTCTGCCTCCACCCTGCAGGGGTTTTCCTCTTCCCTTTCCTGCTCCTCGTTCTTCCTGCCTTCTTCCCGTCCAAGACAAGGGGGAGAGAGAGTGCGTGTGCAGAGGCTGCCTCTTGCTCCCCCTTCCCCTCCCCGCACACCGGTGCCCACTGCACTGCAGGCAGCCGCCCAGCACCCCCGGCCCTGCTATCTGGCGTCAGAGCCAGAGACGGGGAAGAACAAAGGCCTCTGGTCTGGGGCAAGAGCAGAGAGGAAGGGAATTTCTGGCAGTTGTGCTGTTACCAAAAGTGCCGGAAAGGTGTGGGCAGGGATGGGCCAAGCCCCAGGGCTGACAGAACTGAGTGGAGGGGAGTCTAAAACCACGGTGAGCCACATCAGGGTCTTCTCACATAACAGAAAGCCTCGATTTCACTCTTTCTTACTGGTTTCCCCCACTGGTTATCACAAAAGAGTGATACGATGTGTTTAGTAAGATATGGGAATTTGAAAATATACTTTTATGTTAAGAAGGTCTCAGCCACATTCTCAGAAATGAGAGAGTGACATGGTGCTACCAGGAAACTGCTGGAAGGGCTGTGAATGTCTGT